ATTTCAGAGATGCTTCTCAGGGAAGAAGGTCCTATAAAATTTTTAAATGAGTGAAAGAAGAAAGAAATCTTACTGGATTAAAAAATATGGTACATATACACAATGGAATATTATGCAGCCATAAAGAAGGACAAACATATAGAGTTTGCTTCAACTTGGATGGATTTAGAGACTATAATACACAGTGATCTATCACAGAAAAAAAGAACAGAGTACCTCATGTTCTCACTCGTAAGCAGACCCTGAACATTTACTATAACGCTATAAGAAAGGGATTGGCAGTAGTGGAATACTACTGGAGTAAGGGGGAGACACAACATCAACAGGGGTACCTGATCTCAAACCAGGCAAAGTGGGGACCAAAGGGAGGCCCGAACTTTACTTGTACAATGTCCACATATATACCTAGTCCTGAATAGTACCCAACATCTTTACAATAAAATATCTATTAAAAAAAGAAACCTTCATTAATTAATTAGTGCTAAACTTTGTGGGTTTTGCCTATGTCTGTTAAAATGGCAACAAACTAGGTTATAACCAAGGATGACACACTATCCTCTTTTTTGTTGTGAAAAAAGTGGAAACTAGTTAACCTTCTAGAAGATGAAATGCTTACATTTTCAGTAGGTTTTGGTGAGATTTTACTGGATTACTGTGGCATGGTCATTGTCAGCATATGTATAACAGGGTCACCTTGGATAAATACGTTGAATTTACTATGCTATTATTCCATTCACAGGCCTTCACATGAGAACAAAAAGGGAAGAGGTACACTCTGGGTAATAATATGCTCTTGATAGGGCAAAGCTGAAGTCAGCTTGAGACTCACTGCATCCAATACAGAACTAGATTTGGCTTTCTGTGCCAAACTTTCCACCATCGCCATACTATTCTCTTGCACACCCCTATTCCTGCTGAACATGATGTTCCTTGTGCCCAGAATGAACTTTGCCTTCCTCTCTATGTAGTGGATTTCAACTTGTTCTCGAAGGTCCCAATTACTTGCCACCTCCTTTGGGATGTTGTTAAGCTTACATATACCCTTTTCTCAACTTTTGGTTCAAGACTCTTTGTATCTTTCTGTATTTTAAAACTCTTAACATTATGATGCAATTACTTGGTTTTTTTTTAGTCAAATTATCAGAATGAAAGCACAAAGACAACAGGGACAGTGTCCAGTTTATTTGCTGCTGTATTCTTAGGACCTAGAAAAGTGCCTGGCACAAAGGAATTGGATAAATATTGATTGGATGATTCATTTTTAGTATGTATAGACATGTGGGTATGGTTGAAGGAAGGAAACAAGGTGAACCAGATATGATTCTTATTCTCCGCATGATCGAGTTAAGTTACGAAGAAGACACAGAAACATAGTATAAACATTGAGATTGCAAAGAAGAAATAGCTATTGAATTAGGCAGAATGTTTACATTGAGTTTACACGAGCTATTTAGATATTATACATGCTAATTATGAAATCATTACACAGATTTGAATTGTAGTATATTTGAAGAGAAATAAGTATGATAAGTTGCAATTGTTCAGATTTATCAAAAGAGGCAAAGTATGAAGGGAAGAATTTAAGTAATAGAAGATATTTAGATCAATGGAAAAAAAGAATGGTGATGAAGAATGACATACTTTCTAGGGAAAATGAGCAGATCATTTATGAAGGAATTTCTGGACAATAAAGTTGAAAAAAATGAACCAAGCCAAGACTCAGAATTCAACCACCAACTGTGGGACATTGAGCAAGAAAGAACCTATATGAGTTTCAGTACTTTTATTTGTAAATTGGTAATAATAGCTAAGTTTGGCTGTTTCACAAGGTTGTTGTGGGGATCAAATGAATCAGGATGATTCTGAAATATGCATTAAGAAATAGGAGGATACAAATTGGGATATACATTATAAGTTAAATATATTCAAATTAACCATACTTGATTTAGAATAACAGGACTATAAGTGATGCCACCATTTCCTCTATATTCTAAATCATCATTTGAAGAACACATATTAATTAAAAATGCATTTTATTCAATAAATATTATCCTAGGTGCTGAGAAAACAAGAGTGAATAAAAGAAACAAGGAGTTACATTTCAGTAGGCAGAGACAGACAAAAATATCGATACCTGAGAAAACTTTGGATGGCATTTGCTACAATAGTGATAGTGATGGAGAAGGGCATTGCTGCTACATAGAAGGGTCAGAGGAGGTCTTTATGAGGAGTACAAAGACCTATGTGAGCCAAGACCTACATGACAGAAGTGCCAAGACCTACAAGCTGAGTTGAGGGATAATGTGATAGGCAATGGGACAGGCGGCCGCAAAGGCCATAAGCAGAAGGAGCGGAGTGTGTTCAAGGGACACAGGAAAAGTGGGTGTGGCTGGAACACCGTGAGGATAGAGGAAAGCGGTACGAAGTGAGGTCAGAAAGATATACAAGGGCCAGATCATAAAGGATCTTTGAAACCATGGTGAGAAAATTGGATTTTATTCTCAGTGTAATGGCAAGGCATTGGGGGTATTTTAAACAGAGATGCAATGATCTGTTTTACATTTTAAAGTAATATTGTAAATACATATGTGTGTACATATATGTATCTATACATAGATACATATATGATAAAATTCAACTGCTAGATGATAAAATAAACTCCAGTTTTCTTATTGGTAATACTAAAACATATATGTATCTATAATGCACATTTACAGTGTGTATATATGACTATCTAAAATAAAATATAACTGCTAGATGATAAAATGAACTCTATCATAATTTCATGCCATTACATGATCTATTGAGGTCTAATTAATAGAAAAAGGAAGAGGTCATTGTATATATAGTCACGTGTGTATTTTTTCCAGCGTTTGATTTTTTTTTTAAACTTTAAAAAATTTTTTTATTTTAAAATTGTGGGGGTACATTTCAGGGTTAGGTATACAAATATTCACTGTGCAGGTACCCTTGTGGATGAGGTGTGCCCCCCACTTTCCCAGGCAGATTTCCACTACTGTCAGTCCCACCTCCCCGGTGTTTAATATTTTAAAAGTGGAAGCAGTTTGGCATCATCTCCCTGTGCTTTTACTGGTATGTTAGACAATTGATAAAATATTCAAATAGCATTTATTTGAATATACACAATAGGGTGAAGATAAACTGTTAATTGAGAACACCAGTATTTTGAATGCCAATTCTGGTTCTCTCTTTAATTTGCTATATTATTTTCTTTTGTACTTTATTGTTATTTCTATTCAAAAATAAAAGAGACCAGCCTGGGCAGCATAGCGAGACCTTATCTCTACAAAAAAAGTCAAAATATTAGTCTAGTGTGATGAAACCCACCTGTAGTCTCAGCTACTCAGGAGGCTAAGGCAGAAGGATTGCCTGAACCCAGGAGGCTGAAGCTGCAGTGAGCTGTGATAGTACCACTGCACTCCAGCTTGGGCCACAGAGTGAGATGCTGACTCAAAAAGAAAAAAAAAAGAGCAGTAGTAAATATGAAAAGTAGACATTAAGAAGAAAATTTGCAAGTGTTAAGATGTGTAGATTTTGCTACAGAGTGTTTCAAAATTAATATTTGTACTTTTCTTCCTGGCAGCGCATATTTTTAAGAAATAATGAGCTGAATTCTCTTAGTGAACAAATCCCCGGTAGAGTAATTTTGGCACTTAGAGAAGCACGTTAACTGCTTTAAGTTCCCAAAGCTTCATCATTGACTTCTTTATTCCTTTAGAGCACTCCACCGAATCTGCTCCCAGAAATGCAGAAGCACAATGGAAGAATAAGCCGTTTTCTTCCGGCCTTTCAGTGTCTGAAACAATAGACGTATGAAATACTGTACACTTTCAATGCTGCCCAGAAAGTGGGACATTGTTTTGTGAAAATGCATATTAATGGGACTTTGATGTCAGTTTTAAAGAGTTTATCTTGTCTTCAGTGTCTGCAGAGATAAATACTGATCTTAAGCAACATGAAGCATATTCCTGTCTCCATAGAGCATTAATAACCACACAACCTTCTTTCTGTAGATTGAAGGACTGGCAACATTAATGCTGTCAGTGTCAGAGAAATGTAATCAACCTTTCTCTTTTCCCTCATTCCCTTTCCATCAGAAACAAGAATTTTAAAAAAAAGTCTATCAAGGTCCTTGGTCCTTCTTCTTCTCCTCCTCCTCCTCCTCCTCCTCCTCCTCCTTCTCCTTCTTCTTCTTTTTCTCCTTCTTTTTTAAATGATGATCATTTCTTGATCATTCAGAAGGAAACATCAAAAAACAAAGCTACTTTTGATAGTTCCTACTGGAATGAGAAAGATATGACACCTTTCCCTACATTTTCATCCTCAAAAATGATCTCTTCTGAAAGAAAATGATTTCTTTCTGAAAGAAAATGGTACAACTTTCAAGGAGCTGTGATTTTCCAACTCCTTTGATGAAGTCATCAGTACCTTTTCAACAGATGTTTCATATAGAATTCATGTCACAGATCTTCAAGGGGATTCAGAAGAAATGGATGATACCCCTCAGCCCCTGCCCTTGGGTGGCATAAAGTCTTACTGTGTTAGAAAAGACAAAAAGAACTCACATTACTTAAAAATCTTTAGAGATAATATGGTTGTAAGAGTTCAGGTTCTTGAATCAATCAGTCATGTGTACAAATCTTGCCCTCATTCATATATCTTTCCAGCTGTGAGATATGCTTACCTCCTGGAACCTCAAAATTCTCTTCAAAACAAAGATCATATTAGTAATCATCTTCTAGGGTTGCCATGAAGATGGATAAGATAATGAATCATTCATACAAAGTATTTATCTTGGTGCCAGGGCCCCAAATAAGTACTTTAAAAGCAGTAGTTATTATTTCTTGGTAAACACTGATTTAAAAAAATAATTATTGGCAAAACAAGCAAGTTTTTGTTAAAGTGGGCTTTAAGAATTATATCACACACTTATATTCACAAATTGTAAGTATGTACTATGTTTTCATTTTTCTTAATAGGCATTTTAAATTGCTGTTTGGCATACAATGTTGGTCTCCAAGAAGCAAAAATATTTTCTGGTCCATCAAGTGAACAGTTTGGTTATGTGGTGCAGCAGTTTATTAATCCTCAAGGCAATTGGTAAGAATATTTTCTTATTTATGATTTCAATAAAAATACTAAATAAATTTCAGATTTGACTCCCATTGCTTTTTCAAATTGGCTCATGACTATACTATTAATGGATAGCCCCAAAATATCCTTAAAAGAATAATCTTTTTTTGAGAATTGATAACTGTGGAATGATGATTCATGGGATGGTATAATGATACTTTTAAAAACACCTAGATAGAAAATTTTCTCTAAATACTTTGTAGCCAATTCATGATGCCAGTTTTGGCTATTTAGTACATACATAGGTAGGCAGATAGACTAGATAGATAAATAGATAGATAGATAGATAGATAGATAGATAGATAGATAGATAGATAGAATGATAGATATGTCTTCATTTCTTTCTTTCTTTCTTTCTTTCTTTTTTTTTTTTGAGTTGGAGTCTCATCCTGTCACCCAGACTGGAGGGCAGTGGCACGCTCCCATCCACGCAGCCTCCACCTGCTGGGTTCCAATGATCCTTCTGCCTCAGTCTTCCAAGTAGCCAGAACTACAGGTGTGCACTATTATGCCTGACTAATTTTTGACTTATGGTAGAGATGAGGTCTCGCCAAGTTGCCCAGGTCGCTCTCGAACCCACGGGCTCAGGCAATCCACTCACCTCAGCCTCCCAAAGTGCTGGGATTACAGACTGAGCCACCAAGCCTGGACTTGCCTTCATTTCTTAACATATAAACTGAAATTCCTTGAGCTTTGTAATTTGTCACCTAGTTAATGCTGTCTCTGGGTCATTGCTAAATGATAGAATTATTCCCTAAATTTTCTCCTTCAGCAAGATTTGTCTACTCACTTCATTCTAAGTCAGTTTTCCCCACTCTACGTGGTAAAGGGGTCTTACAGGTATCAATACAAAATTTACAATGGTGACTTTTTCTAGTATACTTAGGACCTTTTATTTTTGCTGCAAAGTGACCTCAGTCTTTTAATGCTGTGTGATAGTTACATTTGTAAACAATGGCCATCCTACCCAGGTGAAAAACAAACACCACCTTGATGGAGATGAAAAAATATATATCCATTATTGGCTTAAGCGTTTCATAATAATCATGCAAATAAGCCTAGGTAAATGAGATGATTCTGAAAGTTGTATTTAGGAAGAAGCACTGTTGCTCCTTTTCTGCCAGAGTTATTGCCCACTTGTAGACAGTGGTTCTGTCATTGGAACCTTATCTCGTTGCTGCATTAGAAGGTTTCAGACTGCCGGGCTCAGTGGCTCAGCCTGTAATCCCAGGGCTTTGGGAGGCTGAGGTGAGTGGATTGCCTGAGCCTGCGGGCCTGGGCAACTTGGCGAGACCTCATCTCTACAATAAATCAAAAATTAGCCGGGCGTGGTAGTGCATGCCTGTAGTTCCAGCTACTTGGAAGGCTGAGGCGGAAGGATCGCCGGAGCCCAACAGGTTGAGGCTGCAGTGGCCGGGAGGGGCCACTGCACTCCAGTCTGGGTGACAGATTGAGACTCCAACTCAAAAAAAAAAAAAAAAAAAAGAAGAAGGTTTCAGACCATCCCCACTCATCCTGGCACTTCAGATCCTGGATCTCTACTCTCTAAAACTCTTTCTAATGATTAAATGGGCTATTGTTAGCTTAACAAATAAGAACTATAATTTATAACCCTTTTAATGTATGAACTTATATTTGATGCTCTAAACAACTGAATTCAAAGAAATATTTAGACTCCAAGTTATTCACGTGTTGAGACATGCCTGTCTGATGAGGAAACAAAACAAAATTATCACTAGAAAAGGTAGTGTGTCTCAGAAGGCATCTTGGAGAAGGTGAGCCATGAGGTAGGTTTTAAGTGGTAGAGAGGAAGAGGCTGGAGAAAAGCATTAACTCATGTGAGTAGACATGGAAAACAGTGCATGTTGGAGACAATTTTTTTAGTTATCTGGAAGAGTAAGAACAGCGTGGTTGGAAATCCAAAGATTAGCAGTTACTGAAACCCTTTGGGATATGGGAGAGTGTTGCATCTCTAATAATTATCAAATTATGCTTTGACAATTATAAAGTGGTGAGGACCCAGAAAGATGACATGGTAAGTATGTTTTGACCTTGTAATCTAGCAGGTGAAGTGGCTAAAATGACCCACAAGTTGACAAGTCAACCCTAGTTCTTTCCCACAGATTCTCATATCAAACAATCCATTCAGCATTTCCACTTTAATGCCTAATAGACATATGAAACTTAACAAAAAGAACACAAGCATCTGATTTTCTGCATCAGCTAATAAGACTAAAAATTCTTGACTGCTGTCTTCCCATATCTTATCTATAAACCAGGCCTATTTACTCTAACAGCAAAATACCTATTATACCTGGTCATTCACATAATCTTTCCTGCTGCCACCCTGATGGAAGTCAATACTAGCTCTCACAGGTGCTGTGGCAGGATCTTCTCAACCTGTCCCCTGCTTCCCTTCTAACACCTCTTTTTTGGGGAATTTTTTTGTTTGTTTTTAGAGTTTTAGTGATACAAATGGTTTTGGTTGCATGGATGCCTTCTATAGTGATATGTTCTGGGCCTTTAGTGTACCTATCACCCAAATAGTATACATTACATCCGATAGGTAATTTTTCATTCCTTCTCCCCTTCCCATTCACCCCCTCTTCTGAGTCTCCAATGTCCATTTTTACCACTCTGTATGCCTTTGCAGACCCATAGCTTAGCTCCCACTTATAAGTGAGCACATGCAGTATCTGGTTTTCTGTTCCAGAGTTATTTCACCTAGGATAATGGCCTTCAATTCCATCTTAGTTGCTGCAAAATAAGTTATTTTGTTCTTTTTATAGCTGAATAGTATTCCACAGCATATATATATACCACATTTTCTTTATCCACTCATCAGTTGATGTGCATTTAGGTTGATTCCACATATTTCAATTATGAATTTTGCTGTGATAAACATACAAGTGCAGGTGTCTTCTTTTTATAACTTCTTTTCCTTTGGGTAGATACCCAGTAATGGGATTGCTGGATTAAATGGTAGAACTACTTTTGTTCTTCAATAAATCTCCACACTATTTTCCATAGAGATTGTACTAATTTACATTCCACCGATAGTGTATAAATGTTTACTTTTCATTGCATCTGCACCAAGATCTATTGTTTATTGACTCTTTCATAATGTTTCTGCCCCTCTTCTGCTGTCTTCACTATAGCCAGTGTGAACTGTTAAACACATGGTTCACGTCCTAGATTAAAATCTGTGGCTTTCCACTACTATTAAGATAAATTAAAATTCCTTAAAGGACCTCTCATAATCTGGTGTCAGTCTGTCTCCTCTGTACCATTGTTGACCCCTTCTCTCTTATTTTCTATGGTCTAGGGACCGTGTCTTTTGTTTGTTTCTTTAACATGTTAGAAGTTAAAGAAAATCAAAAGGGACAAGGAGTTGATAAGAACTATCAGACAATAGTTCTGGGAAAGTGAGAGAAAGCCATATCTCCTGTCTCTGTCCAGGATTTCCTCTAAGCACTCAAGACATTGTTAAAAGTCAAGTCAACTAGCAGTTTATGGTGAAGTTCTGGTGCTGAAAAGGTGATGTCAAGACCAGGAACATCAGATGTTTCTAAATCCTGTCTTGACCATCTCATAACTTCACTGAAAGATGTAGAAACACAGGACAGTGAATCTTAGGAAACAAGGCACCATTCTATTATTGACTGGGCTAGTGCTTTGAACTCCAGTGTAGAGCTCTCTGGTAAATTGTAGCATTAAACTCAAGGCCTTACTTCCTTCTAGCCTATACCTAACCATGAGCTGGTATGAGCCTACCCTACCATACAAGAGGAAGAGAAGAAAGAGCATCTGGCTAGTCTGACGGATTTAACAATATGGAGGTGAGAAGCAGGAAGGAAAGAGAACAAGAGTTGACCAGGCAAGCCTGTCTGGGTCCTTTCACGCAATGGTCTTTTCTTACAAAGCAAAGACACAGAAGAAGCCAAGCCACTGGCATGATCTTTTAATTCACTGCAGGCTGGACACTACATGCGATGCAGAAAGTACAAAATATAGACATTGGCTTTAAGATGTCTGGAGTTGAGTCAATAAGAAAGATTTATAAGTGGAGTAGGCAACCATGAAAACACAGAAGACATAACTAAGTGCCAACCCCTCGAGTTAATGGAGTTTGTGTTTAGTGTCATTAGCTACAATAACTTAGTATTAAAAGCTAATTTTCTCTTTCCAAAGCCTGAGATATTAGAGGGATAAGGTTTCCTCTTGACCTCTGTCATTAGTCCAACCTTGCCAAGGTGCTTTGCCACAGAGGGCAGGGCTGTGGCCAGGATCCAGGTGAATGGGTAACTCCATTACAGTGCTAGTGTGAGCCACAGTTAGGACAGGCATCCCTCACAACTTTCAGACTCAAGGAAAATCATATGAAACTTGGCATCCAGAAATGCCTATTTGTTTTGACAACTGGCCCTGTGCCTTTCTCCACTCCTAATTTATGACAATTGCATAGACATTATGGAAGTAGCAGATGTGGAATGAACTGTTTAAACATTAATTTTCCTTCTGATACTAATCAGGTTAACTTTGGCACAGAAAGCAGTATGACTATGAATTCCTTTAATAAATTATCGAGTCTTTCTCTCTTGGATTTATTTTATAATACACACACACACACACACACACACACACACTCACACACCTTTATTTTCTTTATTCCCTTGCTGCTTATTGTTAAGCTACTATTTTGATAACTTTTTTCTCGGCTTACTTTGATTTTTCTTTACAATTTGTTTAAGCCATGACTCTATCTCTCAGGCCTTTCCTTTCCTCTGACAACTTGCAGAGTTTAAAACTCTAGTCTGAGTTTTCTTAAATCACACTCTGTTATTTTAAAAATACAATTCTAGTTGTTCCATGTGTGCTGTGTTTCTCAGAATTTACAAGCATATTTTACATCAAGATCTACCAGATTTTAACAAAATAATCTTGATTCTTTTGCTAGTTTGATGTAT